AAGCAATATTTATAAATTAAAACTATAAATTTTTACCGTTTTTATTTAATTTTGGTTTAATCTATTCTAACATTAAATAAGATTCAGTATTTTTTTATACAATTTACATTTAAAAATTGTGTCTCGAAAACTTGGGTACATTAAAATTTCATGGTGTTAAAGCACCTTTAAACATACACATTTTTATCTTTGAATGAAAGAAAAATACACAAAATAATATGTGAATATATATTTTATTAATGTACTTTTTTCGTTATAGAATTTACTGCACATGCATATATCAATTGACTATGCATGCAATAAGAATACAAGCTTCAGAAAGCCATTAAAATGTAAAATACGTCTAAATTTACATATAAAGAAATCAAACTATGTATATTAAATACTGCTCATTATATACAATACATACACACAAATAATACACGAAATGATACTTCTTTATAAACCCAAATTACAAATGATTTTAAAATTTATATGTTCATTCACTTATATAAAAAAAAGTTCTTTATTTAGATTCATATTTTCGTAGACCGCTTATATTTAGTTCAAGCAAGGTGTTTAAGTACAAATAAGTAGTTAAATTAGCAAGAATGGAAGACAGGAGCATCAAGGAATGCATCCAATAAATCGTACGGTAGTAACTAAGTGTAACCCGTAACATGGGTCAAACAATCATAGTTTTTGTTGCTTAATGAATTTCAGGTCGATATTAAGTGACACGAGTGTGATGCGAGAGGCCAGGTGTTTGGGAGACCATTTGTGTGACTTGACCCTTTGACCTCAAATTTCTTCTAACAATACTGTACCGGGTCAAAAAATGCAAACGCTACATTCTTACTACTATTCTTACCTTACCTAATTCTGCATCTTATGCAATTAATATACGGCATTTAAATTACGATATTGTACAATATCAATTAATGAGATAATTTAATATGCAAAGGAGTGTAGCATATTCTTTGCATAAAACAGTAAGGTTAGAATGGACGAAAAGAACCTTATTTTCATAATGTTTCTATTGCTTCCTAATAAACTTTTATGAAGATAAGGTTTACTTATTGTAATAATATGACGCTAATATGTGAAGGTTGGAATATAATTAAGTTTCCATTTTTCTTTGACAATTTAATTATTTGCTTAAAAGTTGTATTCCAGCCGTTCGGACTTTAAGTACCACCGGTAAAAAGTGGTATGAATCTGGATATATGTGGTATTCCTAAATGTTTATATGAAAAAAAAAAAAAAAGGAAAGAACGAAACACATAATATACACAGAAAAGAACGAAACAAAACAAAAATAAAATTAAAAATAGAAGTAAGATCTCTAACCTGTTTGTTTGTTTATAAGGTTTTGAATCAAGAGGTATTGGATGATAGAGGGAAGTTTGAAGTTTCACTCTGAAAAAATGAAAGTTTTGAAAAGTTGAAGACAAGATATCTGAAGATGTTTGTCTTGCTCGAATTTTGAAGATCCGAAGGTTTTTCGCGCTTGTGACAAAGAATATGATCCGAATCGCATTCCTTACCGGCTGAGAAGTCTCAAGCCTAGAAGAACTGCAAGCACTCTATAAAAAGCAAGCCTCAAGACAGTAAGAAATCGTTGATCATCAGGCCCCCGACCTGGACAAGCCAGTGGTTGGGGGTGAAACTGGTCGAACGTTTCAGAAAATGTTTATATCCGTAATTAGGTGTTACAAAATAAATAAACATATATACCTTCGCCCCCAATTCCCTCCACCATCCCAAAACCTCCTATTTATCCGTAAGGGTGACATCCTATTGTTTTCATTTTGTATAGGAATAAGCAGCGGCAATTCGTATTGAAACGACTAATAAACAGTGTTTTTTAATATAAACTATATTTACCGAAAGTTATTTGATAACCTTTCAGAGAGAAAAGGAATTAATGGTTCGTAAAACTTATTTTCCAAATTTTTTAAATTTTAAATTAAATATGAATGCTTGTTTAACAACTACGAATTTAATTTTATTATTTAACAAATGTTAAGATTAAATTTCTCAATACTTAGGGTATACCACGCAACCGGGACAAGCTGTATCTTTAAAATGGTTAGATATGGGAAAAAATGCCACAGAACAAAATTATGGGGTGCATATTCTGTAATTTAGTTTATGTATTTTTGTGCATCAAAAAATGCAATTACATTTGTTTTTTTTTAAATGGAACCCCCTATTTTTTAGATACACTATAATAGTCTATGCAATTTTTCACTTTCTACAAAAGAAAAAACTAAGATACTTTTCATATTATCGATAATATAGAAAGTGCCTTCCAATACACTAATATTACGTGTTAATAAATTTATTTTTAAAGAAACATTTAATTAGAAATAGTATAACATCCTAATGAGTAGTTCATACATCTTTTACTTATGAATTTCATATTATGTATGTAATCATTATATTTCTCATGTAAACCCACCTTATGTAGATATAATATGATAAAAGCGCCTTTATAAAAACGTAGAACTGTGTGCCTACAAGCAGTAGAGGCTACGATTTAATAAGAAAACATGGAACGTTTTGATGTCACTTTGTTATTAAAAGTGTGGTTAATTAGTATAATAACAGTAAATTGTAATGCTGCTACAACAAAAGAACTATATAAAAATCAAATACCTACGCAAGGATTATACAATGCCAGTGATAACGTAATTGTTTTAAATGTCACTAATTTTAAGTCATCTGTTTATGAAGACACTAAAGGTTGGTTAGTCGAATTTTATAATAGTTGGTGTGGCTTTTGTCTCCGATTTGCACCAGTGTGGAAAGATTTCGCTAATAACATTTATGGTGGGTAAAATATAATTATTAAAAACTTCAATAATGTAAAACTATTGAATAATTAAAAAATAGTTATCTTATTTATCATACAATGTCTTATTTAATGAAGCTGGTAGTAGTTATCATAACGCACCACTTAACTTTGAACAATATTACATTCTTACTTTTAGATAATGTAGAAAAATATGTGTATTCATATGTTTAAGTGATAAGAAAGTGTACTTCAAAGAAACATTTAAGAAAAAAGTTTAAATATGTATTATACTTAAGATTAGGCATATCTTATTTATTTAAATACTTTTTTTTAGCATGGAAAGATATTGTAGTAGTGGCTGCAATAGATTGTGCAGATGATGATAATAATCCAATTTGTCGTGAATACGAAATTATGCATTATCCAATGCTTAAATACTTTTCTGTAAATGCACACCCACCATCATTAGGTGTATTGATGGGCAAATATGATAATGTTAATGAGCTTAGATATAACTTAATTGCTTTATTGGAAAGAGAACAGCAAGAAGGAAGGGGTACTTTATGGCCTAATATCACACCATATAGGTAGATTAATTTATATCTTATCAACTTTCATTGTTATTCTCATAAATAACATAAATTAATTAGTTGTTTAATGTTATAGAAATTATGAAACAACAAATATTTGGAAAGCTGTATCAAATACTGTAAAATATTTCTTTTTATTATTTGAAAAGACAGATTCACATTTAGGTGCAGAAGTTATATTAGATATGCATAAGATTACAACATTACAAATAAGAACAGTATTGTCTGATAATGAATTATTATGCGAGACAAATAAAGTCACAAATTTTCCTAGTTTGATAGTTTTTAGTCGTAATGAAACACAGAAATTTCTTAAAATTGGAATACCAACAAGAGAAGGTGTCTACAATACTATTAAAGATTTTATGATTTCAAAAGGTGAAACTATTAATGAACAAACTTCTGTAAATGGTCATTCAATAGAAATTGAAAATCATAAATCAAATACTGAAAATTCAAAACAATCTCAAGCAACAGAACAGTCAGAGAATTTAGGGATAACTGGTGATCATTTATATCAACTGGATTTGGAAAATGCTTTAAGATATTCAATCATTCATGAAATTCCATTACATAAAGTAATAAAAGATGAAAAAATGGATGCACTGAAGAAGTATTTGAATGTACTAGCTGAATATTTCCCTCTTAGATATGGTAATATTTTTCTAGAGACTATTAGTGATATTATTAAGAAAAGAAGTAATATATCTGGAGAGGAATTTAGTCAAATAGTAAAATCTATGGAAGAAGAAATGTCACCTATATATTCTGGACCTTCAAAATGGATTGGATGCAAAGGAAGTAATGAGCAATATCGTGGATATCCCTGTGGTCTTTGGACAATGTTTCATATGTTAACAGTTAATTTTGCTATTAGAAACAAGGATGTTGAACATGAACCAAGAAAAGTATTAGAAGCCATGCATGGATATATTCAACATTTCTTTGGATGTGCTGATTGTTCTCAACATTTTGTCCAAATGGCTTCAAAAAATAAAATGTTTGATATATCTAATGCTAATGATAGTGTTTTGTGGTTGTGGTCAGCTCATAATGAAGTAAATGCAAGATTATCAGGTGATGATACAGAAGATCCAAAATATAAAAAAATTCAGTACCCAGCAACTCAACATTGTCCAAATTGTAGATATGAAAATGGTACTTGGAATGAAGAAAATGTTCTACATTATCTGATCACAAAATATAATTCTAAAGGAATAAATTATTACGATTCAATTGACAAACGTAAGGATAATGTGAATAAGATGAAAATAAGACAGGAAAGACTTGTATTGAGTAAATATATAAATAACAATAAAAAACTTGGATGGGATTTTACAATTTTTGACATAAGTATTTGTGTTGTGTTGTATGTTGTATCTGGTATCATACTCACATTAGTCTGTATAAAATTTGCAGTCAAAAGAACTTACAGAAAAAGAACGTATATTAGCTTATTTCCAAAGTATGATTTTTATTTTTGTTAATCAAAACATAAAATTTGACAAAATACATCTTGCAAATATTAATAAAAATTATGGAGGTATAGTTATGTTTTTTGAATATATTGTACATATTTAATTTCCGACAATATTTTTCCAATATGATTTTTATTGTAAGAGTATAATGTTGATAGATATATAGTTTTAATTACTTCTTTCAAATGGTGTTGACTAAATTCATTACACATAAGACATAGTTGTATGTATTTATTTTTATTTGTTATAAGTATTATACATTTGAGATTATCACATTAGAATGAAAAAGACATAACAACAATTATTTAAGTCTAATGTATAAAATTTTGAGATTATCTTTTGTGACAATTTTTTTACAATTTAGTATTTATTCACAAATACAAAGTTTCAAAGCTTAATACAAATAGTATTGTACATTTAATATTATTGCATTAAATTGAAAAATATGTAGTGAAAGCTATTTATGTTCATTATATAACTTTGTAATAACAATGGATTTGAAACTAGTCCTACTGATGTACAATTATATTATGTGTAACATTTATTTAAACTACTGCAGTGATACAAATTTTTGTTTATATAAGACAGATGGTCCACACACAAATGTTTTGTAACCTGAATCAAACTGCTCTGTGTAAATATTAAAATCAAATTCTTCCACTATTATACTGAAAACATATCTATTGTAATACTCTCTCACATTTATATGACTTGTTCAATAAAAATAAAAACTACATATTGATTACTTAATGCATACATAATTGAATTTATATTTTTATAAATAATAATTAGTTGAGTTACAATTGTGAACAATAATTTGATTTCTAATTGATTTCAGAAGTATAAACAAATGTATATTTGTTTTCATAAACTTTTAAAAATTGTATAATTTATATTTTTGTACTCAAATTATTATCTATTTGTATTGGTCAATTTCATATATATTCATATAAAAAGTGGTATAATCTGCATTTATTTACTTTTAGAATATGTATATTGCCATGAGCTCAATGTATCCCATATTACACCGTTATGTGGTAATTGAGAATTTATATAAGGAAGTAGCCATGCAAGATACCATCTTTCACCTAATACTTCTTTTATATTTTGTTTCCAACCTAGATTATATATACAAATATTTTTATTATTTTCATTAGCTACATTACCATTAAATACTAAATAAAAATGATAAATGCACAAAACTGCAGTGTACAACATTCCTACTGCAGACACAATATATAAAAGTAGATAAAATTGATTTATAGAACCATCAAAACCAAAAATAAATACTGCCAAAGGGAAGATAATTTTAATAATTGACATAGGAAATTCAAAATGTATTCTACTCCAGAGAAACATATTGTTATAACAAAAACCATATGTTGTTGCTACAAATAAATACAGAAGAAACATGATAAAGTATCGATGATTATAATGACCAATACAACATCCAGTAAAAATACAATGATGATCTCTCTTTAAAATACAAATGTTACATATAGGACAATGCCACGAACGTGGTGGTGCAAGAGTTTCACATGAAGCACATAATCTCCAACCATTTTTAGTATTTGCAGCACTTATTGACATAATATCTCTTCTGGTGCTAGTATCACACAGAATGATGTACGTAAAATTTCCGATTATGTTTACCATGATAAAATTTCCAAAAAGGAAATTTATTATGTACAACAGTGATCCATATTCATGTATCGCCGGTAAAACCACCCATAATTCAAACCAATACAATATTGGCACAATTGTTAATATAAAAGTCATTGACAAAAAATCACTTAAGGTACGTGGCCAAATTTTTTTCCGAATAAACATTTTTAATAGCTTTCGGTTTTTATTACACACGTGATTCTACTCAGTAAACACAGTTCATCTATTATCAATGTACGTTCATTTCATAACGATACTGTTTAAATGTAACCTAAAAATATGAAATATTTTCTTTTTATATACTTATTTAATTATAGAAATTTATATACTGTATACTTGCCAATCGTTTTATTAGATTCATCATGTTACTTGTGCACAAACCATCAATGTTCATAAATTTTTGTACACGTGCGAAGTTTCATCCTTTTCCGGACTTTATTTAATATTCACTAACTTCATAGTACTTTCATGCACTTCGATTTAAACGTACCATTCAAACTTAGTATACAAACGTTCGATTAATATTGTGATGAATAGGTTCTTAAATTTTGTACACATATTTTTGTTCCTTTAATAAGCTTTGATTAATCCAAAGTATTAACAAAAAGAACATATATAGTTCTTTTTATTAGACGTACGCAGTTCTTTAAAGAAGAGTTCATCATATTAATTTTCAACATAATTTTTAATTTTTAATATGGAATCTTCTGAAGAATTTCCTTTTCCTTTCCCTCCATATCCCATACAAAACCAATTTATGAAAGAGTTATATAAATGTTTGGAACATGCTAAGTTGGGAATCTTTGAAAGTCCAACTGGTACTGGTAAATCTATGTCAATTATTTGTGGTGCTTTAAAATGGTTACTTGATTATGAAGAATTTCAAAAGAATGAATTAAATACTGCTATTTCTGAACTTGATGCAAAAATTAAAGAATGTACTAATTCTTCTGACAACTGGTTTTCTGTACAAACTCTACAGATAAAATTAAATGCTAAAAGGCAAATGCTTCAAGTTAAGTTAAACAATATTCTTCAATATGAAAGAAAAAAAAATTCTCTGAAAGAAGCAATTAAAAATATGAATAAAAAAAAAGAATCACGTAAGCATACTATGTTAAGTTGCATAAAAAATGAAGTTGAAGCAGCAAATGTTCTAATTAATAAAATTAATGAAAATGAAAGTATCGAGGAGAAACTACTTTTAGAAGATATCCAAGATTCAGAAAGTTCAGAAGAAGAAGACAAGGAAGAAGAAATTTATGAAAATACCAAAATTTTTTTTTGTTCTAGAACTCATTCTCAATTATCTCAATTTATAGGAGAACTAAAAAAAAGTCCTTATTCAAAAACTATATCTGTTACTTCATTAGCATCTAGGTAATTTTTAAGAATATTTGTTACAATATTTAAAAAAGTAAAGAGTAAAGTTAAAAAAATTTTTAAAAGTTAATTCCTCTACTTATTTTTATTAATAATTTTAGGCAAAATTATTGTATTAACAAAAATGTAAAAAGATTGAAACATTTGAATTTAATTAATGAATGTTGTTTACAATTACAAAGAAAAAAAGTAACTGTCAAAGATGAAAAAGATATTAAAAGAAAGAAGGTGGCAAGCAATTGTCCCTTTGTACCAGGAAGTCAAGATTTATTGATAGGGGAAACTTTAATGCAAATTCAAGATGTTGAGGAAATTGTACAAAGGGCAGAAAATCTTAAAACTTGCGGATATTATGCATCAAGGAAAGCTATACCACATAGTCAGATAATACTAGTGCCATATAATACTATATTACATAAAAATACCAGAATTAGTTCAGGAATAAATTTAAAAGGAAACATATTGATAATAGATGAAGCTCATAATTTACTTGAAGCAATTGAAAGAATGCATAGTGTCATGGTTACAGGTAGAAACTTGTTGCATTGTTATAGCCAACTTTCTCAATATCAAAAAAGGTAAACATATTTTATTTCAATTATTATTACTGTGGTTATATATTTTATCAGTTT